TTTATTGTTCGCGAGAGGTGACAGAGTTTCTGTGGAGATGATGATGAACACCTTCAGAAAATTTTCTAAAGTGACGAGAATGGTTGTAATTCCATATAAACACATATTATATTCAGCAGGAATGAAGATAGAGACTAGAAAGGACATTCTTCGCATCACTGGATTTCAAGAGGGCCAACTGCCATTTAAATATTTGGGAGTACCTATGACAGGAAAAAAGCTTTCCATATGCCACTATATGCCTCTAGTGGATCGAATAGTGTGTAAAATTAAGCATTGGACCGCCCGAATGTTGAAGTATGCAGGACGTTTACAACTTATCAATAGTGTGACATTTGTGTTGACTAATTAATGGTTGCAAGTATTCCCTATTACCAAAAGCGTGATCCATAAGATAAAGTCTATCTGTCAAATATTTTTATGGACATGAGGTTTCAAAGGTAGCAGAAAGACGCCAGTCGCCTGGAAGAAAATTTGCAGACCTACGTGTCATGGTAGATTAAATATCATTGACATGGAGGTTTGGAACAAAACCAATCTGATTAGACTCCTTTGGAACCTGAGTATGAAGGTAGATTCTCTTTGCGTTCGGTGGATCCAAGCATATTATGTGAAGAAGAATAATTTGATGGAGATTATTGTTAAACCCAATGATACATGGATTATGAAAGCTATCCTGAGCCAGAGAACTAAGGTCAAGAGATTGGCTGATTGGGAGGACATAATGGGTTGGCATAAGTTCAACATGAGCAAACTTTATAGGAAGCTGCAATACTTTGGCATAAAAGTGGAATGGAGAAATATATTTTATGGGAATAATGCTAGACCTCGAGCACACTTTGTTTTTTGGCTCACCTGTCATGAAAAATTAGCACAAAAGATAGACTATATAGGTTTGAAATGGTTGACAACAAGGATTGTTGTTTTTTCACGGAAAAGGAGTCGATCCAACATTTATTCTTCGAATGCGATGCTATGAGGGAAATTTGGATGGAAATTTTGAACTGGATACAGGTTAGGCATACCCCCAGCGACTGGAGTAATGAGATTCAATGAATAACTCAGCAAACGAAGGGCAACATAAACTATCTACGAACTTTGGAACATGAGGAATAATAAAAGTTTTGGCGATGTTGTGGATACCACAGATATAGTAAAAAACATTATAGATACCATGGTCTATAGAGGTTGGAAAAATAAGAAGATTAAGAGATATATAGCTATCTTGATAATGGGGGACTGATAGTTTATTTTTCAATTTTGTTTTTTTTAGTCAGCTAGATTGATTTTGAGGCGCTGGATCCACTCTGGATCGCTTGTACAAATCGTTTTTTTGAAATTAATCAAAGTATTCCTGTTAAAAAAAAAGAATAAATATTTAATAGTAGTAATGTAATAAATCAACACCTGAAATCTTTTGATGAGATGACTTTAATCCTATAAAAATAATTCAATCAATTAAGAATGATTTTATGAAATTATTTAAAAAGTATCATAGACGAAAAAAGTCATACCATATATAATATTATGACATGATATAAGAAAAAAGAAAATACTTAAATCCTTCTAATTTAATATGACTTATTTTTATTTCAAATCTAATAAATTAGAGTAAATATTATTTAATATTGAACCTGATTTTCATTTATATTCAAAGATTTAATTTTTTGAAGTTGATTTTACTTTTAGTATTCAAAATTTATATGTTTGTTGTTATTAAATTTATTTAAGTTTTTATTTTTAAAAATATACGCAATATATTAACTATAATTAAAACTACTATTAAAATATAATAAATTATATTAAAATTTCAATTTATCAAAAAATGTTAATATTTTTTTATGACAAAACGTTATTATTTATATTAAAAAAGTTCTATAAATTTTTCTTTTGATAAAAGAACATGAGACAATTATGATAGAAAAATACATAAATTTGTTATGAAAAAGATAAATTTATCATTATTTTTACATTTCTACAATTATCTATTATAATTTTATTTAATTAATATACATAAAGTTTTATGACCGCATCAAAAGTAAGTTTTGTCTCTTAAAAAATGTAAAAAATAATATATATTATTTGTAATTATTACGATTTTATCTATTTGACGGCTGGACAATAATAAAGAAGAGAAATTGTTTAAACTTTCATTTCTATTGTAGAGTCATAAACATATAATTTAATATTTCAATTATGTTAATAAAACAAGTATTTCAAATTAATATTTATATGACAATCATCATAAGAATATTTTTTTTATTAATTCTTATATATTTATATATATTTTTAACTATAATTATATAATATTTATTTTATATTTATATCGACTTTGTCGGATCTGTGCGATGTTACTAATTTTTAAAAGGAAGAATTGATTCACCAATATATGAAGTAATTTCGATATTAAAGACAAAAGTAGTAAACACTTATTTACATAAAAAATGAGTTATTGTGGGCTAAGAAAAAAGTGCACCCCCTATCTCTACTATTCAACCACCTAAAACTAAAACGGGTCAGCTGAAAAGCTTTAATGGGCCTATAATCGAAACCATACCCCTCCTTATTACTAAAACATCAAAAACCTTAATGGGCTCTCATACTTCCATAATCAAAATCTTATCTCTTTCTTCAAAATAGGCTTCCACTCTAGAATCTCATGGGTCATTGGCCAAGATGTCTCACAAATGGGCCAACGAACATATGGGTCTTTCTGATCTAGAAAGCCCCACTCCCTTTAATTAGGATACACCCCTTTATTGATTTGAATTCCTATAAATGGGCCATCAGATATTGATGGTCCATTTTTAAGTTGAAACATCTTTTCTTTCAGCTTTAACTTTGAAAACAACACATTGCGATAAACCTAAATATAACCATAAAGATAGAGAAAATTTGGGGTACGATAATACCTTTAGAAGATGTAGGAAGATAGTAACTTCAATTATAACCCCAAGTGTGAAAAAATGAAGATTACTAATTTATGTTTCACCAATGATCTTTTATTGTTCGTGAGAGGTGTCTGAGTTTTTGTGGAGATGATGATGAACACCTTCGAACAATTTTCTAAAGTGACGGGAATGGTTGTAAACCCACAGAAATGCAGATTATATTCTGCAGGAATGAAGATAGAGACTAGACGGGACATTCTTCGCATCACTAGATTTCAAGATGGCCAGCTGCCATTTAAATATTTGGGAGTACCTGTGACAGGAAAAAAGCTTTCCATATGCCACTATATGCCTCTGATGGATCAAATAGCGTGTAAAATTAAGCATTAGACCGCCCGAATATTGACGTATGCAGGGCGCTTACAACTTATAAATAGCATGCCATTTGCATTGACTAATTATTGATTGCAAGTCTTCCTAATTCCCAAAAGTGTGATCCATAAGATAGAGTCTATATGTCGAATCTTTTTATGGACATGAGGTTTTGAAGGTAACAGAAAGATGTCAGTCGCGTGGAAGAAAATTTGTAGACCTACATGTCATGGTGAAATAAATATCATTGACATGGAGGTTTGGAACATAACCAATCTGATTAGACTCCTTTGGAACCTGAGTATGAAGGCAGGCTCTCTTTGGGTTCGGTGGATCCAAGCATATTATATGAAGAAGAATAATTTGATGGAGATTGTTGTTAAACCCAATGATACATGAATTATGAAAGCTATCCTAAGCCACAGAACTAAGGTCAAGAGATTGGCTGATTGAAGGAGATAATGGATTGACACAAGTTCAACATGAGCAAACTTTATAGGAGGATGCAGAACTTTGGCATAAAAGTGGAATGGAGATATCTGTTTTATAGGAATAATGCTAGACCTCAAGTACGCTTTATTTTTTGGCTCACTTGTCACGAAAAATTAGCAAAAAAAGATAGACTATATAGGTTTGGAATGATTGGCAATGAGGACTATTGTTTTTGTGTGGAAAAGGAGTCGATCCAACATTTATTCTTTGAATGTGATGCAATGAGGAAAATTTGGATGGAAATTTTAAACTGCATACAGGTTAGGCATACCCCCAGCGACTGGCGCAATGAGATTCAATGAATAACTCAGCAAATAAAGGGCAAGGGACCTCGAGCTCATGTGATTAAAATGGCGGCAGCGGAAACTATCTACAAACTTTGGAACATAAGGAATAATAAAAGTTTTGGCAATGTTATGGATACCACGAATATATAGTAAAAAAACATTATAGATACCATAGTCTATAGAGGTTGGAAAAATAAGAAGATTAAGAGATATATAGCTATCTTGATAATGGGGGACTGATAGTTTATTCTATAAATATTTTTTTGGATAAAAGAACATGAGACAATTATGATAGAAAAATAAGTAGATTTGTTATGAAAAAGATAAATTTATCATTGTTTTTATATTTCTACAATTATGTATTATAATTTTATTTAATTAATGCACATGAAGTTTTATCACCGCATCAAAAGTAAGTTTTGTCTCTTTAAAAAATGTAGAAAATAAGATATATTATTTGTAATTATTACGATTGTATCTATTTGATAGCTGGACAATAATGAAGAAGAGAAATTGTTTAAACTTCCATTTCCATTGTAGAGTCATAAACATATAATCTAATATTTTAATTATACTAATAAAACAAATATAAATTAATATTTATATGATAATTATTATTGAAATATTTTTTTCTATTAATTTTTATATACTTCTATATTTTTTTAACTATATAATATTTATTTTATATTTATATTGATTTTGTGCGATCTGTACTCTAATTTATAAAAAGAAGAATTGATTGATGAATATATCAAGTAATTTGGAAATTAAAGACAAAAGTAGTAAACACTTAACATAGCGATGGCTTAGTGTATGTGCAAAGGAGAAATTGGGATTTTCACACATTTACCTGTTTTAGTATGTGTGCAAACAAAACATGTTAGTGTTGTTGCGTAAAGCATGATACCATACCAATTTTGTGTCACACTGTCACCTACCTAACAAAACACCACAATCGATGAATCATCAAAAGCCGTTACAAGATAACATCATGGAAACGAGGGAGTGTTTCATGCTTTCACCTGCTGCTCATTGCGAACCAACTCTCAGAACTGCCCATTTTCTCAAACCTACTGCAAACTCCATTCATGAACTTAATTTTCACCCTTCTTCTTCTTCTTCTCTTTTTGATCCTAAGGAATGTTCTTTCAAAATCAATTTCAATGGCTGGCGCTACCCACGCACTAAATGGGTTAGGTGGCTTGATCAACTTAAGCCCATGTATGAATCACTATGGAAAAATGCTGGAATCTTTGGACCTATAATGAGTACTAAGAGCCACATAATGAAGAATCAAGACTTGGTTTATGGTGTTGTTGAGAAATGGTGTTCTGAGACCAATACCTTTGTGTTTCCCTTTGGTGAAGCAACCATCACATTAGAGGATGTTGTGGTTTTGGGGGGTTACTCTCTATTTGGTGATCCTGTTTTCACACCACTTGAAGATCAAGATATGAAAGAGGTTGAGAAGAAATTGATGCTTGCAAGACAAGAGAGGAGTAAGAAAGGTATGACTTCTACATCAGTTTGGATGGATGCTTTCATTGATAAGAGTAGTGAGATTGAGCATGAAGCATTTCTTGTTACTTGGTTGTCAATTTTTGTTTTTCCTCACAAATACAATGTCGTCAAAAGTTGTTTGTTTCCTATTGCTGTTCTTCTTGCTAGAGGGAATCCTATTGCTTTGGCACCTTCTGTTTTGGCTAGTTTATATAAGGATTTGACTTTGTTTAAGGAAACAATTGTAGGCTTTAAGAAATGTTGGGTAGGAGGTGATAGATTTCCCATGGTGTGGGAGGTTAGTTTACAATCACCCTTTTACTTGGTTCAAGTTTGGGTGTGGGAGAGGTTCCAAAATTTGCAGCCACAACCCAAGTTGATCAATAAGGGAGACCATGTATTGTTGAGGTGGAATATGGTTAAGGCTTTGCAAATTGAGAATGTGAGGTTGGCATTAGAATCAGCTATTGATGATTTTATGTGGCGTCCATATTTTAGATATGCTGATAATTGTGGAATGTTTTATCCAAATGATGAAATTTCGGTACCGTTTAAGAAACATTTGGATAAACAAATGCTGTCATTTGTTCTATGCTTGAGAGTTTCTGAGCTTGTTGGAATTGAATGTATAGAGCAATATCTACCACATAGAGTTGCTATGCAATTTGGAATGGATCAAGATGTTCCTGGTTATGTGTCTAGATTCAATGAGACTAAAGAGCTTGCTTGGAAAAATTACACGAGACCCTTGTCTGATACAAGTTTATATTTTCCATCTAAATTTTTTGAGGCTGATGTTACTACGCGTTATACAAAGTGGTGGGCGAAATCTGTATTGGGTCCTCAGGGTTCCGTTAAGAATGTTGTCCCGCGGGAGAGAAATGTCAAGTCATCAAAATGTAGTCCTGAGGCTAAGCTTTCACTTGAGTTTTCTCTGAAACTTGTTGGCCCTGTTACTCTTGGAAAATCTTGTGACGATGGTTCAAAAACTAGCAGGAGTGTTAATATTGTTGACGATGACCATGTTCCTTCTGATTTTATTCCTAAACTTTTGACAACTATGTCATCTGAAAATTCTGTTGAAGATGGTTTGAAAGCTGAGAAAAATGTTGTTGCTGATGCTCGTTCAAGTCTACCACAAAAACATAACACTCCGAGCCCTTTTATATCTGTTGAAGATTGTATGCCTGTTCTGGAAGAAGATGTTGAGTTTATCGATGCAAATGAGATCAAAGAAGCTAGGATGTCAAGCGACAGAATCAGCGAATCCGGGACTCGAGAAGAAAGCTATAGCTATTTAACTGAAGCAAGTATAGCGGAACTTGAACAGAGAATTAGTCGACTCGAGAAGGTGCATGCAAACCTGAAGTCCACAAGGTTAGGCTTCACTTGAAAACATTATTCTCTTTTTAATACCATGCTAAGGAAAAACATAATCCTAACCAAGTGCTTTGTTACATACATTGTAGGTAGTTGCTGTAAGCAACTTGACAGAACTGGAATTTCTTGTGCAGGATTTCGTTTCGAGCCTTACATTGACAGTTTAGTAGAATTAGTTAAAGATGGCAAGGTTTGGTCACAGTTATAAACATTATTATAGTACTAGTTAAGCTACATGACAAGAATGTAATTGAAAAAGAAGACCAAATGAAACATGAACTTTATAGGATATTAATGTTGGGACTCAGTTTCTGCTTTTACTTGAATATTACATAGAAACATAGTTATTAGTTATTAGTTATTAGTAAGCACTCAACTTCATGAAAATTAGCCACAAATAGTAATGGACATGCTTTTTCTTTGATTTTATGTTTCTGATGATTTGGATGCTTGCTTTATTGCCTGTTATTTCAAAAGTTGCTACCTCTTGGTTGCAGATTTTTTCTGGTTAACCTTTGTTATGCATGAAATTTTTTCTCTGTGAACCTTTGTTATGCGGGAAATGTTTTCCGTTTAGCCCACAGTTTGGAGGTTGATGAGATCCCTCCGATGATGTTTTATGCATAAATAAATATTGTATTGATGTTTTCTTGAGGTGTATCTTCGAGATGTATCTTTCTCTAACATCATATTGATGCTTTCTTGAGGTGTATCTTCGAGATGTATCTTTCTCTAGGTATTATGTTGATGCTTTCTTGAGGTGTATCTTCAAGAAATATCCACCGCCAATATTACTTAGCTCATAAGATTTTCTTAGCCTATATAAAGGCATGGATACTTTGTTTGTAAAATCATCAATTATCAAAATATATGAGTGAAAGAGAGTTAAGAAAATTACTTCTTATGTGTAGAATTTAGTTTATATTTTAAAGTTCTATTTGATATCAAATTGATATTAAAAATATTTTTGAGTGTGTGAAGAATAAAAGAGTTTTTATTGTATAAAAAATTATTGTGAATATTTTCTGAGAGAGATATGATAAATAATTACAATTTTGTTTGGTTCGGTCTAAAATTAACTTAGATTTTAGTTTCTGAGAAATTTTGATGATAACACATCTACAAACTCATAATGTTTAGAGCTTTGTGGATTTCGGTTTACAACAAAGAGCTGATTAAGTCGTTTGTAGAAAGGATCAGTTGGCACTTTCACAAATTCATCAAGGAATTGACTATTCAGTATTTGGAAAAATTGTAAATGCCAAGACTGTTAAAGAAGCATGAGACATATTGAAGTTGTCACATAAAGGAGTTGAGAAGGCTCAGAAGTCCAAATTACAATCGCTGCATAGAAAATATGAAATGTATGAAATCTCTAATCCAGAAACAAAAGAACAATATTTTTCTCGTGTTATAAATCTTGTCAACAAGATCAGAGTATATGGAGAAGATATTCCAGATAGTAAAGTGATAGAAAAAATTCTACGTACGATGCCGATGAAGTTTGACCATGTGGTGACTATGATAATTGAGTCATACGACATAGACACCTCGTGTGTAGCAAAGTTACAAAGAAGCATTGAAAGTCATGTAAACAGAATATTAGAAAAGACCGAGAAAATGGTAAAAGAAGCTCTAAAAAATCAGATAAATTTCAACAACACTTCGGAGTCAAGTCGTACGAGGAAGATGAAATTATAGAGACAGAGGCCGGGGAAATTATGGTGGAAGAGGACGTGGTAACTTTAATCAATAGAGAGACAACAACTTCAATGGTTTCAATCCAGCACATCAAGGAAGATATGGTCATAGTTTTGGATCTACAAACTGTGACAGAGGAAGAGGTAACTATAATAAAAAAGGATAAATTATAGTTGTTATCATTGTGAAAAATGTGGACACAAAGCAACTGATTGCAGATATAAACATCAGACAAATGTGGTAGAAAGTTTGTATAAAAATACCGGTGAGTACTTTGAAAATCCACAAAATTTATTTTTGGCAAGTAATACATTTTCAGAAGAAGAAAATATTCAGTATTTAGATACTGGATGTAGTAATCATATGTGTGGGAAAAGGGAGTTATTTTCTTCTCTAGATGAAACAACAAATTCAGTGGTAAAATTTGGAAACAATTCAAATATTCCAATTTTGAGGAAAGGTCAAATTTCTATCAGGTTGAAAGATGGATCTCAAAACTTTATTGGTGATGTTTTCTATGCTCCTGGTATTCATCATAATCTCTTGAGTATGAGACAACTGTCTGAGAAATGTTACAACATGCAGATTCACAATGAATTTTGCACATTGATCGACATAAATGGCATATTCATCACAATGGTAAGAATGACACTGAACCGTCTATTTCCTTTAAAAATTAAACATGAAAACATTCCTTGCTTGATTTCTATCATTCCAAATGATGATTGGTTGTGGCACATGAGCTTTGGTCACTTTCATTTTTCTGACTTGAATTACTTGTCGAGAAAAGAATATGTTTCTGGATTGTCTGTTGTGAATATTTCAAATGGAGTTTGTGAGACTTGTCAGATTGGAAAGAAGCAAAGAGATTCATTTCCAACTGGAATGTCTTGGAGAGCAAAGAAGCTACTGCAGATAATTCTTTCAGACTTGTGTTCAGTGGAAATACCAACACCATGACGTTTGTGATGCCTTTAAGACATTCAAGGAATTTGTAGAAAAACAAAGTGGTTGTAAAATCAAAGCATTGAGAACAGACAGAGGCCAAGAATACCTCGTTGGTACAAGTTTCTTTGAGCAACATGGAATTGAGTATCAATTGACAACACGATACACACCTCAACAAAATGGAGTTGCTGAAAGAAAGAATAGAACAATCATGGATATGGTGAGATGCATGTTGAAAGCCAAACAAATTACTAAGGAGTTTTGGGCATAAGTTGTTACTACTGCGGTTTATATTTTAAATAGGTGTCCTACAAAAAGTGTCAAAGAAAAGACTCCCGAAGGAGCTTGGAGTGAAAGAAGACCTTCAATCTAACACCTTAGAGTTTTTGGATGTATTGCATATGCTCATGTACCAGATCAATTGAGAAAGAAGTTAGATGACAAAGGAGAAAGATGCATCTTTATTGGTTACCGTTCAAATTCAAAGGCATATAAGCTTTTCAATTCAAATACAAAGAAGGTGATTATCAGTCGAGATGTGACTTTTGATGAAGGAGGAATGTGGGATTGATCCTCAAAATCACAAAAGAATCCAGTAGTGACTTTAAATGATTATGAAGAGGAGATTGAATATAATCTAACACTTGATTAGCCAGAAACATCCAGCAGACAACAAGTAACCCCCGATGAGCCATAAACATCCAACAGACAACAAATGCCTCGTAGATTACCAGCCAGGCTGCAAAGTTATGTTTTGGGTAATGATAATGACTCATTTAATGAATAGATTATCAAATTTGCCTTATTTGCAGATTGTGAGCCGCTAAATTTTGAAGAATCCTCAAGTGATGAAAAATGGATAAAAGCCATGAATGAAGAAATCAATACAATTGAGAAGAATCAAACATGGGAGCTGACAAAGTAACCAGCAAACAAGAAACATATAGGAGTAAAGTGGGTGTACAAGAAAAAGTACAAACCCAATGGTGAGATTGATCGCTATAAAGCAAGGTTGGTGACAAAAGGATACAAAAATCAGGTATTGATTACTTTGAAATATTTTCTCTTGTTGCAAGGTTGGATACAATCAGAATGCTTATTTTGATATCAACTCAAAATAATTGGTAAATATATCAAATGAATGTTAATTCTACATTTTTTAATGGTAATCTGGAAGAAGAAGTATACGTTGAACAGCCTGTAGGATATGTAGTGAAAGAAAAGGAATATAAAGTTTATAGGTTGAAGAAAGTATTATATGGTTTGAAGCAGGCGCCAAGAGCTTCGTATAACAAGATTGATTCTTATTTTGTGAAGAATGGTTTTCAGAGATGTCCTCATGAGCACACGTTATATATCAAATATATTGATTCTGGAGATGTTCTTATTGTGAGCCTATATGTTGATGATTTAATTTTCACTGGAAATAATTCAGAGATGATTGCAAAATTTAGGGAGGCTATGATTCGACACTTTGAAATGACTGATATGGGCTTAATGTCTTATTTCCTTGGCATTGAGGTCGTCCAACAAAATGATGAAATTTTTATTTCCCAAAAGAAGTATGCAGGTGATATTTTGAAGAAGTTCAAGATTGAGCATTCGAAACCAATATACACGCATGTTGAAGAAAAATTGAAGTTGACAAGAGAAAATGATGGCAAAAGGGTAGGCTCAATCTATTATAAAAGTTTGATCGGAAGCTTGAGATATTTGACTGCGACAAGACCAGATACAATATATGGAGTTGGTTTACTTAGCAGATTCATGGAAGAGTCACGCGTTAGTCATTTACAACGAGCAAAGATGATTCTTCGTATATCAAAGGTACTCTAACCAAAGGTATTTTTATGCTAGTAATAATGATGTGGAGCTTGTTGGATACATAGATAGTGATTGGGCTGGAGATATAGAAACAAGAAAAAGCACGTCAGGGTACGCATTTCATTTAGGCACATGTGTTATTTCGTGGTCTTCGAAGAAACAATCAGTTGTTGCGCTTTCTACCGCTGAAGCATAATATATTGCCGCAACTAGTTGTGCTACTCAAACAGTATGAATGTGTTTACCTTGGGTTTTGGTAAACAACCGCTGATCCTCCAAATGGTTACTTGTTTGGTTACTCGCAGGATCGATCAGATTGATCCTATGGACATAGGTTGATTTTGAAGTTTGATTAAGGTGGATAAGGCTTTAAATAAAATGTTTCAAGTAAATTGCATAAAGGAAAGACTTGGTAAAATAAACAAGGCTTTAAAGTAAAGGTTCGACAGGAATTTAAAGGAGAAAAGCAAGTAAAATTCTGGGAAAGTAAATGACTTTAATTGATAAAATTGGTGTTTCACACATACATTTCTCAACAATTCTTTCTCACACGCTGGGTACTCGAATCTAAATGAGTGACTATGTATAGAATTATGAACACACGCGAGAAACTACATGTC